ATGGCAGAAAGTGAAGAGGAACTAAAGAGCCTCTTGATGCGGGTGAAGAAGGAGAGTGCAAAAGTTGGCTTGAAACTCAACATTAAGAAAACCAAAATCATGGCATCCGGCCTTCTCAATTCCTGGCAAATAGATGGGGAAGAAATGGAGGTAGTAACAGATTTATTTTTCTGGGCTCAAAGATCACCTCAGATGGGGACTGCAGCCAAGAAATTAAAAGACGCTTGCTCCTGGGGAGAAAAGCTATGGCAAATCTAGATTGCATACTAAAAAGCAGAGACATCACCCTGCCAACAAAAGTGCATATAGTCAAGGCCATGGTTTTCCCAGTTGCAATGTATGGCTGTGAAAGTTGGACCATAAGAAAGGCTGAGCGCCAAAGAATTGAGGCCTTTGAACTATGGTGCTGGAGAAGACTCCTGCGAGTCCCCTGGACTGCAAGGCGTTCAAACCGGTCAGTCCTAGAAGAGATCAACCCCGACTGCTCTTTAGAAGGCCAGATCTTGAAGTTGAAACTCAAATACTTTGGCCACCTAATGAGAAGGAAGGACTCACTGGAGAAGGCCTAATGCTGGGAAAGATTGAGGGCAATAGAAGAAGGGGACGACAGAGAATGAGATGGCTGGATGGAGTCACTGAAGCAGTAGGTGTGAACTTAAATGGACTCCAGAAGATAGTAGAGGACAGGAAGACCTGGAGGAACATTGTCCATGGGGTCGCGATGGGTCGGACATGACTTCGCAATTAACAACAACAACAACAACAACACCCAGTAAAGCTTTAGTTTTTTATTCTAATTTAAAAATAAGAACATATTGTTTGCAGATACAGTACTGCAACATACGTCCATTGTGACTTCTATTAAATTTGTCTGCTTGGTATTAGTTTGCAAATACTGCTCTATGAGCGTAAATTTTAAACAGAGGTGATTTTTTTTTTTTGAACAAACATGGTGCAAAACATGTTGTCCATGTCTAAGTGGAATTGCAAATATCAGATTACATCATTGTTCACGTCATACTAGTACCCTAAAGTTGTAAAAATCACTGGGTAAACAGAATTGTAAGTAATTATTTGTAACTGAACAATCGATAGTGTAAATAGTCATATGTTTCTTTTCCTAGATTTCTGTTACAATGAAATCTATTACATAAACAGTAATAATGTTTCATACTCAGAGGTAACATCAGAATTTTATTTAATGATTGCAAGAAACACTGTTTACTTATGCATAGTTTAGTTTAGAATCTGAAACCAGCAATAGAATAAACCTGTGTTTTTTTTTTTCAGTTTAGTGTGTGTGTGGGGGGGGGATCAAGATTCTATAATACATATGCATACATTAATTCAGAAGATTTTAAAGATTAAAATATAATTGAAACCAGAGACTTTTAAGCAGCTGGTGAAAAATCATGAACTTTCTTTTTATAAATGATAACTTCACGATGCTACTATATTCCGAAAAATAGAAAAGTTTAGTTATACCCACAATGGGGGAATGATTGGTGAGTACGATTAATTTTTTGGCTTAGAGAAAAAACAATATCTTTATGGTTGACTGGAAATTCCTTGTAGACTTTTAACGTACTGTAAAATGGGAAAAATGCACTTGTGATTTGTGGTTAGAAACCTGGATAATAGAAAAGAGTGACTTTTATTTTGTAAGCAGAGAGTAAAAGATAACTGTATAATTGTCCTTATGTTTGCTGCAAAGAAAATTAGAAGCTTCTATTTCTTTTCCTTCTTTCTTTCTGCACATTTGCCTTTTTTTTCTTTCCTCATTTCTGCTTTTTCTTGTTATTACTTTGTTCATTTTTATGTTCATTGCAAAACTTTCAATAAAATTTTGTTTTAAGAAATTTAGATCAGGGATGGCACACCTTTGCAATGTTTTGACTTAATGGTCATCTCTTGAGCAAGAAGGATTTCTGCTCAGTTTTATTATATTTATGTGGTTAGGTTCTGCATGATCTCCTTGTACAGGTAGTCCTCAAATTACAACCATTCGTTTAGTGACCAAAGTTACAGTGGCACTGAAAAAAGGGAGTTATGAAAGTTTTTCACACTTACAATTGTTGAAGGAAAAGTCTTCATCAGTGTTCAGTCCAAGCCGGGAATAAACAACATGGCAACTACTTTAGAAAGAAGGTTGCAGTTTATTGAAGAGAAGAGCCAGACAGAAAGATGGCTCTGGAAGAAAAGAGTAAGAGACCACATGTAGTAGGGAGTGGGTTTTTATATCCTCTTGGGCTTTTGTTTGGAGTTGTTTCCTGTTCCTGTTTGAGGCTTTGTATTTCCTGTGTCATGTACTTTGACCTGAGTCTGAGTACGCCCTTTTGGCATCTATGGGTAAATCCTATTATGTCCTGTCTTAGAGTTTGGGTGGGGTATGTAGATTGTAGGTGTCTTTATCTTCCTAAGCTTCTAGCTGGAGGGCTCCAACCTTCCTGAATGGATTATTTACAGCTGCATTTCTACAGAGCTGGTTCCTGCTTGGGAAAGGGATACTTGGGGCTATTAAGAAAAACTGGGCATGCTTTTCTGTTGCTTTAAGATCCTTTGAGGAAATATAATATTCTGCCCTTTTAATATTTCCTTCTCTGGGGGGGGGGGCTGACTTCCTACACAATCATTTCAGCATTCCCATGATCACATGATCAAAATTTGAGAGCTTGGCAACTGGCATGTTTTTATAATAATTGCACTGTTTCAAGATCATATGATAACCATTTGTAACCTTTTCAGCTGCCTTCCAACAAAGTCAATGCGGGAAGCTAGTTTCACTTAATGACCATGTGATTCACTTAACAAATGTGGCAAAAAGGCTGAAAAATGAGCAAATCTCACTTAATGACTGTATTGCTGAGCAATGGGAATTTTGGGTTCAATTGTGGTCGTAAGTCGAGGACTATCTGTATATCCCACGCAACTGAACACTGAGTGAGATCATTCAGATAGTAGAATAAAATGTCATCAGCATCAGATGATGAGAGGAAGCTCTTTCTTTTGAGTTAGGAAGTTATGAAGAAATATTTATTTAATTTGTATCCTGTCTTTATTATTATTAATACAAAAAAATACCTCAAGGCACTAACATATCCAACACATCTTCCTATTTTCCCCACAATAACAACACTTTGAGAGGTTGGGCTGAGAGAGAATGACTGGCCCAAAGTCATCGAGCTGGCTTTCATGGCTAAGGTGGGACTTGAAGTCATGTTGTCTGGTTTTTAGCCCAATGCCTTAACCCAGGGGTCTTCAAACTTGGCCCTTTTATGAATTGTGGACTTCAACTCCCAGAATTCCTCAGCCAGGCACCTGCCTTAACCATTAGACCAAACTGACTCTCCCATAAGTCCTTGGGTGTATTAAATGTTTTTCACACCTGTGCTATATATATAAAGTTGCCAAGATTGGGCCCCAACCCTGGTCCATGTAATCCAGCAACCGGTCCGCACAAACAAGCAAAGCCCCATCCAAGGGATGCAGGCAGCACACAAAACCACACCCCCTCCAATCTGCGGAAAAACCTCTCTCCACGGAACTGGTTCCTGGTGCTCAAAAGGTTGGGGATCTCTGGTGCAAACAATACATTATTTATAAAAGCTGCATTAATTGTAAATATTTATGTGACCATAGTGGGTTTTAGGTAACATGGTAGTTGCTGATTTTATTAATTATGCATTTTTATCATTTTATTTTATTGCATGTTTGTTGTTCATTTTTCTGCAGTGACAAAAAATGTCACAATAATGCAACTACATAAATTGGATCACTGAGCGTTGTGCATGTCATGCAATTACTGTGTTAATGGTACCACTTTGGTTCCATATGAGTGTTTGTAGCAAAATATTTCTACAACGTTTACACACCCTAGCTGGTTTATAATCAAAAGTATTGGCTGCCCAACTTACAGTGACTCTTTTTTCTCATTGATTTAGCTTTCTTTCATTATCTGAATTATTTGTATCCATTTAACTCCTAGACCAGTGGTGGCGAACCTATGGCACAGGTACCAAAGGCGGCACTCAGAGCCCTCTCTGTGGGCATGCGCGCCCTCGCCCCAGTCCTAAGCCTTCAGCTGGGTTTTATAAAACCTTTTCATTCTGGGCCTCTGCCGCCGTGTGCAAAAAAAAAAAAAAGGTTCAATCAATCAATCCATTTCAACTTTTTGCGGGGAAAAAAAAAGATCTTGCAAAGTTGGAATTGATTGATTAAACTTTTTAGTCCCATCCAGTTCTGCCGTTACCACCGTAGCCACGCCCACCCAATGGGCCATGCCCACCTGGCACTCGACGATGCATAAGTGGGTTTTGGGTTGCAGTTTGGGCACTCAGTCTCTAAAAGGTTCACCATCACTGTCCTAGACAATTAGTTAATTCCATTTACTCATCAACTTAACAGTGATTAAACTGGACTGCCTCAAGGCTCTCACTTTTACTTTAGGTGAATTTATTATAAAGGCTATATAAATGGGAAACAAGTAATGGGGTTCATACTGAGTTATGGTTTCTTTATTTGTAGTTTATTGAATAAATCACCACTGGTTGGTACATGCCACACACAGAGTCTTAAATTATAGGTTACAGTTCACAAACTTCTGCTCTGGTGCTCTATGGGAACCAAGTCATTACCTCGTGGAACAATTCTTGTGTATCCAATTTAACAGCGCAGTAATAAACATGTCAAAGTGAAGAGTTCCTACCTGGAAAATAAGAAATATTAAATTACAGAAGCTTTTGCAATGAGTGTGAAGCTAGAATTAGTGAAGAAAATCAAGGACTTCCAAAGTCCAATTTCTTATTTTCCTAATAATAAATGCCTTGTATTTTTATTGCATAAATATACAATAAATATAACTTTAATTGCAATGCATCATTGAAGAGAATACTTTATTCCAAATATAAATATGCCACATAACATCTATAATCATTCATATATACATAAAACCAACTTCGAAGAACCCCACCCCCATTAATTGAAAGTTCTTGGAAATGAAAATCATAGCTGGATTACTTTTAACATGACATGGAAAACTACCTCTCCCATGAAGCTTTGCAGCTGCAGTTTATCCTTTGTTTTCGCCAATAGAAGCAGGCTTATTCAAGGGGTGTAACTTCAGAGTCTCCCGTGACATTTGTTCTGTGTATAAAGCCAGCTGTAGTTGAGCTTTAGCATCACTGTTACATCTGTGGATTCTCGTGTAAATATTTTAAATAAACCTTGGTTGTTTAGGCTCCCTGTTTCTTAGTAGTGAGAAAGCAGAGAGTGTAAAAAAAATGGATGCAATATTCAGCTGCAGGCTAGAGGATATGGAAGATTATTATAGCTTGCTGGGATGTGATGAATTATCTACAGTAAGAGAACTTTTAAATTTATATATTCTCTTTCCATCTTTGTCAATTGGTTGAATTGGAACTGTGTGTGTGAGACGAGTGTTTTGCTTTTCTATAATGTTCTCAAACCTGTATCTATTATAGTAATCAATCTGTTTAGTCTTTTTCTTTATCCATCTTCTCTTATACTGCTGGAAAACTTTCTCTTGAATTCTGCATTGTTTATTTATATTAGCTGAAGCATTGTCATGTAAATAATGAAGTAGTCTTTAAAGAAAACTTGGGGACTTCTAGAAAGCTATTCATAACACAAGGTCTTAAAGGGATGTTGTTTTAGAAAATAATTGCTATGGTGCTTAATAAGATTTACATTGTGTAAGGGGGCAACAGAGTAATTATCTGCTATTGTGAATCTTTCATAGGAGAGGAATTGTGGAATATTGACAAACCTTTTAGACTTTTAAGAATGTCTAAAATCTTGTACTTTACTAAATGTTCACAGTTGATTATATGTGATCGACACCCTTCAGTTGTGAGCTAATAGGGCTGTGCTCTGCTGAAGGCTGATGGTCACAAAATTTGACAGCAGTTGTAAAATTTGTTGGCAGTGATTTTTCCAATGAAATAGTAATGATCAGGGCCTGAAACATGTTTTTTTTTTAAAAAATTCCTTTTTATGATGCAACTTTAGAGCATTTCTTTATATCAAGTCCTACCATTGCTCCTCTCGGTGACTAGCCATGGCTGTATTTCAGCCTGCAGATGCCAAAAATTGAACCTAAAATGTTTTATCAGCTGTTCTACTACTGAGCAATGACCCCTTTTTTTGAAGTTGCCACTTGCTGCACAGATGGAAATACCTGTTTACTTGAACGAATGGTGTAATCTCTTGTAGTGAAAGTATGTGATCTTTTAGAGTGGAGTATTACATAGTAATGTTTATGTTTTAAAATGCTGTGCTGCTTGTACTTTGCCCACTATTCATTTTGTGATCTTGTAAACATTGAAAAGCTTTAGTAAAGGGAAGTGGTTGAGAAGAATGAGAGAAGTGGTTGAGAAGAATGTAATTTTTAACTATTCTAATAAAAATATTTTTCAGTTGACTTAAACAGCAACCAGGTGTTATGAAAGATTTTGACTCTCAAAAATATGTGATCTCAACTGTGGGTTTTGAATTAAGGTTTCTAGATTTCCAGCTATGATAATGGGGTAGCCAGAAAAATTGCCTCTTTTATGGGCTTTTCAGCTGATTATTTTAATTTGCAGCAAGAGTCAATAACTGAGGAGGTATCAATTTGTTTCTTGTAAGTCTAGAAAAGTATTTCAAATGTTTGCTAAATTCATTTATTTTTCAGGGAAAATATAAATAATAGTTGATTTGGCCAGGAAGAATGTTAAACTGAAAACTACTTGAACTACCTTACTTTTCACAAATACCAGTATCTAAGACCCCAGATGCTAATCAAAGATTTGATTTTTAATTAGATTAATTTACACAAGAATATCATCAGGTTTTGCAAGATGAGAAAATGGGAAAATTTTTCTGAAAACAGAACAATACAGTATACTTTTGTTATTTTCAGTACAGCAATTTATCATTTATATTAAAACTAATAAAGTACAGTATAATGAAAGAGAGTGTAACATATAACCTATGGGTCCACATTTTTAATATTACATTTAAGTGGTGATCTACTACTGCATATCCTATTTTAGGCAGCACATTTTTTTATTGGGAATTCTGATCTTCACTAAAACCTTTGAGTTAAAATGAAGAGTATGTCAACTCTAAACTGAGTTCCATATTTTACTAGATAGTGAGGATTTTAGCTCCAGTTTTTAGCATAGAAACAACTATATTAGTCCTCCTCAACTTAATGCTCTCTAATCTGTTGGGAGTGGAGGTTTTGAGACTTGTAAATTCCATACATCTGAAGAGAACCACACTGGGGAATGTTGCATTGCTGAATATGTGAACTTTGCATAGGAATAGATAAAGATACACAACTGGGACCAGCATCTCTGTTGCTAAACCAGGTGACTGATAGGTTAGTTCTGTCCAGTTTTATGACTTTTTTGCCATAGTTGTTAAGCGAATCATTTCAGTTGTTAAATGAATCGCACAGTGGTGACTTTGTTTGTTGGAAGCTGGCTGAGAAGGTTGCAAAATGGTGATAACCTGAATTTTGATCATGAGACTGTGGGGATGTTGTGACCGTCATAAATACAAGGACCGATCCTAAGTTACTTTTTTTCAGTGCCGTAATTACAAACAGCCATTAAATGGTTGGTTTTAAGTTGAGGACTACCTGTAAATAATTTCCTAAACTTAAAATAGGTAAATTTCTGTGGTCATAGAAGTACATAACTTCACACATGTAATGGTATGCTAATATCTTGCTTTCTTGACTTCCCTCGCATGCAGCGAGGATGTTCTAAAAGATGCTCAGAAAAAGAAAAACATTAAAAAGAAGTTGGACTCAACTTTCATGAATGTTTTTTGCTGTTTTTGCATAGGTTGAACAAATCGTTGCAGAGTTTAAAGTTAGAGCTCTTGAATGCCATCCAGACAAGCATCCCGGAAACCCTCAGGCTGGTATGTCTTTCTCACTTTCTTTCTGTAAACCACCATTGAGGCGGATGTGGATGCTCTTGGGCAAAGCATCCTCAGTAGCACCCAGTGAACCAGAAAATGGGAGTGATATTCAAATGTGTAGTTCTCTCATCATGAAGATTTGGGTATCCTGTCTAAAATAAAGTTAGCCATCTTGTTGATCAGCTGTTTAATTGCAAGTGTTCAAATCTTAGATCCTGGTAGGCCAGGGATGGCGAACCTTTTAGAGACCGAATGCCCAAACTGCAACCCAAAACCCACTTATGCATCGTCGGGTGCTGGGTGGGTGTGACCCATTGGGTGGGTGTGGCCCATTGGGTGGGCGTGGCTGCAGTGGTAACAGCAGACTGGGTGGGACTAAAAAGTTCAATCAATCAATTCCAACTTTGCAAGATCTTTTTTTTCCCCGCGAGAAGTTGAAATTGACTGATTGATTGAACCTTTTTTTTTTTTGCACACGGCGGTGGAGGTCTAAAGCGAAAAGGTTTTATAAAACCCAGCTGAAGGCCTGGGACTGGGGCGACGGCACCCGTGCCCACAGAGAGGGCTCTGAGTGCTGCCTCTGGCACTCGTGCCATAAGGTTCGCCACCATTGTGCTAGGCTGTGACCTAGTCTATTTATTTTATGTGATGCCTTTCCAATGTATTGCTTCAGCATTTATTTATACAGCAGCGAATCTAGAAAGAGACTATAGTTGCTTGGTTCTCTAGCCCAGTTTTTTGATAATATATATTTAATTGGGAGTTACAAAAATTGCTTATCTGTTTTAGAACCTTGCTCTTTATTTAAATAAATAGGTGTCAAAGTTTTGAGGTGCACCAGGTCAGGAAACAAATACCACAAGGATAACTGCACTTCTGTTGTTATGTGGGTATAAAGGGTTCTTGAAAGACCTATGGTGTTTCTTTTCCCCCCTCCCCCCAACCCCTTCTAATAAAGAGAATCCAGGCAGAGAAATCCTGAATTACTTTCTCGCATATTCCCATTTTCCCAGACTACAGTCATGTTTTACCAGTGGTTGCTGCATATTTTCTCCAAGGCCATTTCCATCCACTTCCATAGAAGGAAAGATCCCTTTGAAGAAGACCTTCTAAGTCATAAGCTCAGCTTCCTGATATGTGGAAGATGGTCTTCTCCCAGGTCTGGGAAAACTCCACTCAGGGAAGTGCATTTGGTTCCTGCTCTCCCACAGTTTAGGAAAATGGCAAATGTGACCCTTTTGTTTGACTATAAAGCCTTGATTTTAATATCTTGTTTATAATTTGCATTTTAATTCTTTAAACTGGCATGGAGTGCTGATATAAGCACTCCAAACCGAACAGAAATCCAATAAATTATAAATGCGTAAGTTCTCGTTGGGGGTAAAAGCACATAGGCAGATGTCTTATTCCAAATCAAAGTTAGCAAAGTAGCAATTTGGAGAAACGGGAAAAGACTTTTTTAACTCATTGCATCAGCATATATTTATTCTTCAAGCAACATATGTAACAAACAAAATCAAAGCTGAATCTCAGATGCATGTGGGTGCTGCTTGCACTATGACTATTGTTTATATCAGGGGTGTCAAACTCAATTTCATTAAGGGCCGCATCAGCATTGCGGTTGCCCTCGGGGGGGCTGGGGGGGGGCGTGGATGGAATGGGTGTGACCTACTGGGTGGGCATGGCCAGCTCTACATCGTTCACGTCACGGGTGCCTGTGGGGGCCTGGGCAGGAGTGGGACAGATCTGAGAGTCTCTGGCAGAAGAGGGTGGGACCGGGGCAAGCGCCAAGGCATGGTCCATTTCTTCATTCCTCACAAAGGGTGACATCTTCCCAGCATGCACCCAGGGGGCGGGCTGACGCAGCAGGGCCTGGTTCCTCACTGTTTCTAGACGGCCTTGTGGAGCTAAGACTGAATGCGTTTCAGCATAGATGGCCACCACAAAATTGTACATTGGCTCCCAGCCGTCCTGGGCCAGGGCCAAGGCAGCGGGGGCCATTCCCTCACTGTTTCCAGGATGGCTTTGCGGCCCACATGAAACTACTTTGTGGGCCACATCCGGCCCCCGGGCCTTGTGTTTGACATGTCTGGTTTATATGATAAATTGTGGTAGAATCATCTTTATATTTCCATATATTTTCATGTAAAGCTGGGAATGATTCGAAGGAGAGTAGGAGTTTCTCTGTTAATCCCCTTCTTTGAGGCTCTGGATGAATATCTAATCAAGATGACTAGGGATATGACTCTGCTTGGATCTGGATTAATGCTGGGCTACCAATATTAGGCTAAGGGACCCTTCCCTGCACTTAACCACAGCACAAATGCAGCTTAGTTTTGGCCCAGTGGTTCTCAACCTGTGGGTCGGGACCCCATTTGGGGTCGAACGACCATTTCACGGGGGTCGCCAAACAAGGCTGTCCACCATTTTTCCCCCTTTTCCTTAGCTGTGCTACTCCCTTTTATTCTATTGGCTTTTGAAAGCCAATAGAATAGACTCTCTTGAATAGAGTCTAATTCTATTGGCTTTCAAAAGCCAATAGGAATTGCCCAGGCTGTCTCTGCCCTGCTGAGCCCGCCAAAAGTCCCATTCTGCAAACGGTGCTGCACCAGTTGAGTAGTCCTTGACTTACGACCGGTTGAGTAGTCCTCAACTTACAACCGGTTGGGGGTCGCGGCATTAAAAAGGTTGAGAACCACTGTTTTGGCCTAAGCCCGCTTTAAGTATATAAGCACCTTTGTCCAAAAACAGCCCCATCCAGATGCATAAATTTCATTGGAGGGAAATTAGGGGGCTACAGAAGCAAAATATAAGCAACATATAAGGAACGGTTGCTAGAATTGGGTATGTCTAGTTTAACGAAGAGAAGGAAAAGGGGGGACAGGATAGCAGTGTTCCAATATCTCAGGGGCTGCCATAAAGAAGAGGGAATCAAGCTATTTTCCAAAGCACCTGAAGGCAGGACAAGAAGCAACGGGTAGAAACTGATCAAGGAGAGAAGCAACCTAGAACTAAGAAGAAACTTCCTGACGGTGAGAACAATTAACCAGTGGAACAACCTGCCTCCAGAAGCAGTAAATGCTCCAACACTGGAAGTTTTTAAGAAGAGACTGGACAGCCATTTGTCCGAAATGGTGTAGGGTTTCCTGCCTGAGCAGGGGGTTGGACTAGATGACCTCCAAGGTCCCTTCCAACTTTACTATTATTATTATTATAAATCAGCAACAGAGAAACACATTTCCTATTAGTATAGTTTTCAGCTGATTCAAGGCTGGCTGGAAAGCACTTGAGGTACACTGGGGTGATTTTGTTGGGTTCACCTAACACCTAATTGGTGATATGTGCAAAGGGCTTCCTTTTTCTGCTTGTTTACTAATATAAAAGCTTGGGAAGGGGGCTATTTTCAGCAGTGAAACACCACTGAAGCTATTACATGCCTGCTGTCAATTTGATCCCAAGTGACTCACATATCTTGAGCCCCAAGAGATCTACTGGCAACACAATAAAGAGCCTATCCTACCCATTAATCTCAATGAATTTCTTTTAAAGATGTTCCTCTTTTTTTTTTAAAAAAATAATTGTTTCTCCATTAACAAATAATTAGATTCACAAGACTATCTCTCTCAAAGGTGCTTTTTTTTTTTTTCCTTTAAAAGGCAACTGGACTGTGGATGCGTGGATAAATAAGAGCTAGGGAAAATACTGCATGTTAATTAAAATAAATAGTGTGCATGCTTCCTCAAAAAAAGCCCCATCAAATAATTTATGATTCCTGTGCGCGTCGCAAAATTTGCGTCACTAAAAAGAAAAGCTACCCTTTTCCTTTTGTCTGCATTGCTTCCTGTAGAACAGCTTTCAGCCGGCAAAATGGTAAGAAGCAATTGAATTGGGAAAGCCGTCTCTACAATGTTTGTATCTGTCAGCCCTTGTTAGCATTTGAATTTCACGTATTTCCAAACAAATATCCGGTTTAGTAGACCTGCATAAATGAAGGATCATTGTCAGTGCCACAGAAGAGAAAGGTGACTCATAGCTAAAACACATATTTTCATAATCTTTAGAGATAATATTTCTGTTACCAGGAGGACAAGGAAGATTTAAATCCCTTAGTAGAGAGAAAATAGAAAGAACTCACCACCATAATGCAAACCAGCAGATTGGTAAAATGGGGCAGAAACAATCAACTTCCACCCAAATTGTTTAATTAATAATAATAATATTAATAATATTTATATTAATAATAATTATTATTATTTGGAAGGGACCTTGGAGGTCTTCTAGTCCAACCCCCTGCTCAGGCAGGACACCCTATACCATTTCAGACAAATGGCTGTCCAGTTCTTAAAAACTTCCAGTGTTGGAGCATTCACCACTTCTGGAGGCAGGTTGTTCCACTGGTTAATTGTTCTAACTGTCAGGAAACTTCTCCTTAGTTCTAGGTTGCTTCTCTCCTTGATTAGTTTCCATCCGTTGCTTCTTGTCCTGCCTTCAGGTGCTTTGGAGAATAGCTTGACTCCCTCTTTTTTCTGGCAGCCCCTGAGATACTAGAACACTGCTATCATGTCTTCCCTAGTCCTTCTCTTCATTAAACTAGACATACCCAATTCCATCAACCGTTCCTTATAGGTTTTAGCCTCCAGTCCCCTGATCATCTTTGTTGCTCTTCTCTGTACTCTTTCTAGAGTCTTAACATCTTTTTTACATTGTGGTGACCCAAACTGGATGCAGTATTCCAAGTGTGGCCTTACAAGGCATTTTAAAGTGGTATTAACACTTTATTTATTTATTTATTTATGCATTCATTCATTTATGAGACTTATACATCGCTTAAGAACTTCACATGTTCTTGATTCTATCCCTCTGTTAATGCAGCCTCACACAAGAGAGGTTTTGTTTACTTCTTTGCCCCAGGCGGAAAATTGTCATGGGTGGATCTTACCTGGGCAAGAATCTTGCAACATCTTGTGGCAAACTATTTTCCAAAGAGTCCTCTTAGGCCTGGCACTAAAGCTATGATAACTTTGTAGTGAGATTTATTTCATCATAAACATGCAGAAAGTTTTGCTGCAGGCTCAGAAGCAGTGGTGGGATTCAGCCGGTTTGCACCACTTCGACAGAACCGGTAGCTAATTTTTTGTTGCCCAGGCCCAGAACGGACTGCCAGAAGCGGCATCCATCCATAGAACCGGTTGTTCACATATTTGAATCCCACCACTGCTCAGAAGCTTGTGTTTAAAGCAATAGAAAGAGGACCAGCACCTTGCTTTCTGTCTTGGACACACCTTGGTTTTGATCCACCAGGGACCTGTTGTCAAACGGGGTGGTGGTGGTTGGGTTTGAGTCATGATAATAACTTGCTAAAAATAACCATTAGATAAAAATGTGTATACTTGCATAGACTTCCTGGAAGAAATGACTGTTGGCGTCTGCCACTAATGCTGATAGTATATTATCTTCAATTCAGAGACTGAACCTCCCTATGTTAATTATGAGGGATCACCAACCAAAGAACAGTTGTTTCTCCGATCTGTTTACTGACTTTCCAGAGAAAACTTCTTGGCAATGATGGGAATAGATTGCTTGATTAAAAACTTGGAAATGATAAATATTAAACATTAATTTTAAATATTAATGGAAAATTAAAATTGGGAAAAACTCACTAGGACATTGATCGTCTCAAAGATTGAATGTTAAAACAATTAAGATATGTATAAACTAAAAACTATTGATAAATGTAAGAAAGTTACTTTTTATTTGATTGATAGAATAAGAAGTGTATTACTTTAAATTATGAGACAGTACATATTAAGGGGAAAAGAGAAGAAATATTTATTGTAATAGTTTGAGATTTGTACTATGTTATTTGTCTGCAATTCAGTCATGGTAACTCAGCCACCACGTTGCTTTTCAAAGATATAAATGTAATATTAGAAAACCAATAAATTTTTCAAAAATAAAAAAGAAAATTAACCAATGTCAATAGATCTTCATTAAGTTTCTATTGATTATTTTTTTTTCTGTAGATAATATTCATCAATATTCAATAAACTGTCTTATTTGCCCACAGACTTTTGGGAAACATGCAAAAAAAAAAAAAGATCGTTCGATTAAAGGCATTATCACAGGCTGCATCCAATCTCTCTGAGAGAAAGTGATACCCAGCTGGTTTCATGCCTAAGGCATTTTGTTGTTGTTGTGTGCATGTAGGTGTTCATAATGGATAAGTCAAAAGCAGTATGCCATTGATCAGACCAGCTGTGTCCAACCTTGGCAACTTTGAAGACTTGTGGGCTTCAGTTCCCAGAATTCCCATTCCCATGCTGGCTGGGGAATTCTGGGAGCTGAAGTCCACAAGTCTTAAAGTCGCCAAGATTGGACACCCCTGGATCAGATTCCTACAAACAAATAATCTAACTATATGCTAGAAAAATCTATGAATGCTTTCCTCCATAAAATATCCTTCTGTTTCTGTTTTATAGTGGAGAATTTTCAGAAGTTGCAGCATGCCAAAGAGATTCTTTCTAATGAAGACAGCCGTGCCCGTTATGACTACTGGCGAAGGAGCAAAATTGCTATCCCATTCCAGCAGTGGGAAGCCCTGAGCAACTCGATGAAAACAGTTAGTTTTGTCTTGTGCGGCCGCATATCTCGGAGAAAAGAACTCTTATACTCATTTGTGGGAGGGAAAGCTATCTTCTGGGTGGCAGACTTATGGGTGTGTTTTGTGCTACTCTGCGAACTGCACTGGGTCCTCCTAGTCTTCTTGGTACACCTCAAGAAGCTGATTATCACTTCTAATATATTGCCTGGCATAGGATCAGGTTGTTTGTGGAACCACTTGCTTCCAAGGGTATCTGCCTGTCCCCTGTGTCCCAACAAGTAGAGCATTCTCTGTATCCCCTCCTTGAAACAATGTCATGCCTTCTTGGTGGTGGCCCCCGCCTGATAGAACTTCTCTCTGACATACAGTTGGCCCTGATCCAGCAGATCATTAGAATGGTGGTCTAGACCTGTCTTTTTATGGAGGCCTTTGGGTCAGGATGAATTTCCAATATGTGGAGTTATAGTCAGTGGTGGGATTCAGCCAGTTCTCACCACTTCGGCAGAACTGGTAGCTAATTTTTTGTTGCCCAGGCCCAGAATGGACTTCCGGAAGCGGCATCCACACAGAGAACCGGTTGTTCACGTATTTGAATCCCACCACTGGTTATAGTGTATCTGTCAATGCTGCTAACATTGGGTGTTATTGCTTTGACAACAAATGGAAATGCAGCCATTTGTCTCTTTCGCCTTTAGAGTTAGATGATGCTGGGAGGGGGAATGTGGATGAGAGTCCAGTTAGTCATAACAACAAAAAATTAAGCCATGAGAATTCAAGGTTACTGAGCCAGAGTTGGCGGGCTGGAGAGCTATGGAGAGAGCCCAAGTTTCAGGCTAATTGGGGAATGTGATTTATGACTGTCAGTTGGAGGAGGAAATTGTGCTTTGCTACTTTGTGCCAATGGGAGGGGAATTCAGTTTTTGGCTTCAGTTATGTAGTGCCGATATTATGCTTCTAGAATTAAAGATTCTTTAAGGTAAATAATGCTTTGAAGTTCTTTTGAAGAGTTTCATCTGTCGAAACCATGACAGTAATTCACCTGTGGTCATCATTTTATTTTTTTTTTAAAGAAGGCTTTAATGATGTGTGTTGTTTCTGTATTGGTTGGTTTGATTTTTTTGCTTTGTTTTATTTATTTATTTATTTATTTATTTATTGTATGTTACCCAGAATCACATTATTTTGAGTTGGGCAGCCATATAAATGTTTTGAATAAATATATAAATAATGATGTTAAATATACAAATTCTGATGACAGGGTTGGGAAATGTCTTGAGGACGCAAAAAAAAATTCATCTAATTTAAAAGGAAAATAAATTTCCAGCAGAGGGGTATTATGTGTCACCTTATGCCAAATCAGCTTGTTTATTTATGTACTTCAGCATTTCCTATACAATAAACTGGTATTTTGATACGGTAGAAGAGAATATCTGTACCTCTAGATCAGTGTTTCTCAACCTTGACAATTTTAAGGCATGTGGACTTCAACTCTCAGAATTCCACAGCCAGCAATGCTGGCTGTGGAATTCTGGGAGTTGAAGTCCACATGCCTTAAAATGGTCAAAGTTGAGAAACACTGCTCTAGATTGAACTGTGGGGTCCTTGGTGTTCTCTGAGCTTGGTGGTTTTCTTGCAGATGTTTCATTAGCAAACTAGGTAACATCGATGCCCTGATGATGTTACCTAGTGTGCTAATGAAACATCTGCAAGAAAACAACCAGCTCAGGCAGCACCAAGGACCCCCCAGTTCAATTCAGAGCTACAGATATTGTCTTCTATCAAGAGAATATCTATCAATATTCTATCAGGGTATTTTGCACTACAACTTCAATAATCTATTGACCATGATGTCTGAGCCTTACGGGAACTGTAATTGAAAAGACCAGAATCTGGTTATCCTTAGTGTAGGCTGATTGGCAGCAACTCTTCAGGATCTGTGTGGTGTCCTTTTCAGCCTTCCTGTGAGGCCAGATGGATGGAACTTTCTGCTTGCATGAAGGCATAGACCCCCCCACCATGACTGTATGACTGTTCTTTCCCAACAGAGGAACAATTCTGCGTGCAAAAGAGGTTGTTGACTTTGCGACAAAGCTATGAGGCAAAACTGACCTGTGATAGTAAAAAATACTCCTTCCTTCTATTTGAAAACTAAGAATAACTTGTCCTTAATTAAGCCACTATCTCTACCACTATCAGTTGATTTGGTCAAGTAAATAAAATACATTATTAACAATTCCCTTGAGCATCTATTTATAATTCTTTATCTGTAAACACGCATACAGACACACACAGATACACAACATTCATTCCTCAAAGCACCACTGGAAATTACCAATATCATCATCCTAATCATCTGTTTTAGTCATTGACCAACAACATTTACATCTAACACTAAAATTAAAGCCATTCCTTTGTGTCAGTTGTCAAATCTACTTACAGTGCTATAAGAATAACTAAAATTTAAGGTGCTGGCAGAAATATAAACACATATAACACCATTAAATTAGTCCACAATATGAACCTGAAACTTTTCTGCTCATTCACTGCTTGTTTTGTTGCTAGATGCTTATTTTGGCAACCAAATTATATATATAAATTTTTTTTCTTGTTCCAGTCAATGCATTGGGCTGTCAGAGATAAAAAAGAGCCGATGTTGGATGCTCCCAATTCAAATCGTAATGACAAGATGGCTGATCATTTTTCGCTGAAGACAGAACTCAACAGGGATGATTTATTCCAAGATAGAAAGGAAATGGAGGATTCTCAAATGTTTGATGGGAAACCAATGTCACCAAAGACCCCAGATTCGCCAGGTAAATCTGATTATAGCACATTCTTCAATGTAGGACACCACCACAAATCCACTTGCGAAATGTAATTGTATGCACATAATCCTCTTAACCATCACACTTTTTTCTAGTCTTAATAAATAATTCATTTTCTTTTCATCACATGATTTTCAGATCCAAATTGCTGGCACCTGCGTTTTCGTTGGTCGGGTGACACTCCATCTGAACTTCTGCGGAAATTTAGAAATTATGAAATATGAAGCAGAACAACAGATATGTATGAAGGATGAAATGTGGTTTTCAGTGTTTCAATATTTTTGTATATGTTTATTAAAGAGCGGCTGCTTGTATGTGTATATATACACTATCTGTTAGAGATGTGCTTACTTTGAAAATGTTTCAAAAGAGGTCCTTCAGAACAGGCTTCAGAACGCATGCAGTGTATGCAAGGAAACCATGCAGCTGACCATCTTTTTTCAGGTGAACTAGAGAAAAGATGCACCGTATTTTCCGGCGTATAAGACGACTTTCTAAAGCATGCAAATTGGCACCGAAGTCGGGGGTCGTCTTATACGCCGAGTCGTCCTATACGCCGGAAAATACGGTAGCTGTTTTAAAACTTGCATCCGGAATTGGATCCTTAAAGCAGCAGTAGCAGCATTTTTCAAATTTGGATGCTGCTGTAATGATTAGCAGAGAGGTGCTGTGTTCATGCAACGTTTGAAGCACCAATTTCGGAACTATTTTTGAAATTTGTGCGGCTTCAGAAATATGTGTACCTTGTGCAGTTATATATAGTGTTTTAAATTTTGTAATATTATTCTTGTATAAATTATAATGTAAAACATTACAGCTTCTGAACTAGATTCCTTCATTGCATGGATAATATGTTGGTGCATTTAGTCTTGTTTCCAAAACTGTATCCTTAACGAAATCTGCTTCCTATAAATGTAAAACCATTAAGAAAATTATCTGCAGTCACCTTAACATTCTGCATTTCTAACGTATTTCCAGCTATATTTATTCTATGGAAATGAATTCACAGATTTTAGCCCCTCAGCTCTGTCATTCCCATCTCCTAAAAGCCTGCTGGACTTATAAATGCCTCCTTTTTTTTCTTGCTTTATCCTGTTGTTTGGGAAACGTTCTAAATTATATAGGTAATTCTATCTCCATGTCATTCTTCAAAGTTCACTTTTTCTAAGAAACATTTCATCTAACTCTTTACATCCTTCACCTCAGCAAAACTGCATACTTATCTTGCTGTTCTTAATATTTAGGGTCAAAATATATACCATGTTAGAGTTACATGTATTTTTGCTATACGTAAAAGTATCTATAACAGTGATGGTGAACCTTTTAGAGACCGAGTGCCCAAACTGCAATCCAAAACCCACTTATTTATTGCCGGGTGCCAGGTGGGCATGGCCCACTGGGTGGGTGCGGCCAAGGTGGGCGTGGTCACCTCAATGTTGCTCGTGAGGAGGGATGCCTGTGGGGGCCAGGCAGGGTTGGGGGAGATCCAGGGGGTCTCTGGCAGGTGGGGTGATGGGTAGGAGGCTCGTCCTGCACGGTGAAGTGAGGCAGGGTGGGGGTTCCATTATTTCAGGGCAAGGCAAGGCAGGGTCCGGTGTAGCTGCTGCCTGACACCATCGGCCCCTGCACACAGAGGCCAGCAAGCGCATGGGGGCCGACAGTGTCTGTCAGCCACAGCCTGCCGGCCCCTCGACTGGCGCACTCTGGGGCTCCGCAGCCCGTCATCAGCAGTTCAGAGAAGTGCCCACAGAAAGGGCTCTGCGTGCCGCCTCTGGCATGTGTGCCATAGGTTCGCCATCACTGATCTATAAGCTTGAGGTTCTCCAGTGATAATCAGGGCTTTGCCACATGGAATACAGTCTATAGAATAATAAGGTTGGAAGGGACCTTAAAGGTCTTCTAATCCACCCCCTGCTCAAGCAGGAGTCCCTTCAGACAAATGGCTGTCCGGTCTCTTCTTAAAAGTTTCCAGTGATGGAGCACCCACAACTTCTGAAAAATGGAAACGAATGGAATGAAATGAAAATGGACAAAGAGGCTAACGTGTCTGGATCTTCTGCACCTCATGGTGATATTAATAAAAAGAGAATTATGCTGAAAGCTTTGCTGTTGAACACATTTTGGTGTAATGTTACATTTTCCTTTCTTCTGTCTCTTGGTTCCCCTCCCTGCCAACATTTAGTAAATAATTTATGAATGTGACTTGCCTTTTTTTTAAAAAATGATACCTTGTAAATATTATGTATTTGGATGTCACTAAATAAATATCATAAAAACAAAAGCATATCCCATTTCAGAAAATGAAGAATTACTAATCTTGTACAGAATCAACTCTGATTTGGGGTGAAGTTTATATATGTTTCAGGTGAATGTACTTTATTCTTTATTCTTGTCTTTATTCTTCCATGGATGTTCATGTTGTATATTGTTCGGTCTCCAATAAACTGGTTGTTGAAATGATTCAGACAGCAAAGTGAATATCTTATCAGTTTAGAATCATGACACGAGGAAATGTGAAATGGTTTTTGTCAAGGTTTTGAAACGGTAATAGAAAATCCTCTTTTAAGAGGGGGAAAAGAATATCACTAATTGCTGCGGAGACTGGATCAGCTACGTGACTCTTTCAATCACTGGCAATCACTGAACACATCATTGTGTCACCCACCCACTGTGTCACTCCTGTGGGTGGTGCTTATTCTACCTACAAGTTCTCAAATGGGGTAGACCTCTGTTTAAATAGGAAACTATGATCTAATGAAAAACACAATACACTTCTATAATTTGCAGCTGAATAAGAACTGGGAGCTTGTTTCATCTTTTGTCTTGAGGCCTGCCTGTATTTCTCAGTATCATTGATCAAAATAAGATCCTTACTTATATTCTGTCTAGCTGCAGGTGGCAGCATCTACCTTGCCCATCTCAGATACTAGGCTGGCTTGCATATGGTTAATATTTGAATGGGAAATCAAGTACCTTGACTTGGAACATTAAAAAAAAGTGGAAAAAAATGACTGTTGACTTCTGTATTGCTTCCAAGAAACATGCACGTTCATAAAACATCCCAGCCATTGTTCATGAAGGCATTCCTGCAGTCAAAGAAAAATAATTGGTGGATGAAATAAAAGCATTTTCAATATAGTTGAGCATTTTGGAAGAAACACTGATAAAGAGCTTTTTATGAGAATTTCATAACTAGTGTTGTTACCAAAATCCTACTCTACAGCAGTGGTTCTCAACCTGTGGGTCGGGACCCCATTTGGAGTCGAACGACCATTTCATGGGGGTCGCCAAACAACGCAGTCCGCCATTTTTTCCCCCTTTTCCTTAGCTGTGCTACTCCCTTTTATTCTATTGGCTTTTGAAAGCCAATACAATAGACTCTCTTGAATAGAGTCTAATTCTATTGGCTTTCAAAAGCCAATAGGAATTGTCCTGGCTTTCTCTGCCCTGCTGAACCCGCCAAAAGTCCCATTCTGCAAATGGTGCTGCACCAGTTGAGTAGTCCTCGACTTACGACCAGTTGAGTAGTCCTTGACTTACAACCGGTTGGGGGTCGCGGCATTAAAAAGATTGAGAACCACTGCTCTAGAGCTACCAGGCAACTGTCTCCTGGAGTTGTGGGTGCTCCATCACTGGAAGTTTTCAAGAAAAGATTCGACAGTCATTTGTCGGAGATGGAATAAGGTTTCCTGCCATGGGTAGGGATTTGGACTAGAAGCCCTTCTAGCCTGTGACTCTATTTCTATTTCAGATCTGATCTAAATCTGGATTAACAGTAGATAGTAGAAAGCTTTACTGCCATGTAGTCGTCATCTTGATTTTTGGGGGGAAGAGGGAGAACTTTACCTTTCCTACCTCTTAGCCCGAGGGTCCCCAATCCCCAGTCCATGGACCAGTACAGGGCCACAGCATGCCAGCAACTGGTCCACACAAAAAAGCAAAGCCCCATCCGTGGGATGCAGGCAGCACACAAAACCACACACCCTCTAGTCCACGGAAAAACCTCTCTCCACGGAACCAGTCCCTGGTGTCCAAAAGGTTGGGGATCTCTGTCTTAGCCAACACAACTCTGATCGCAATAGATGTAAATCCTATTCGGTGGGCAAGCATTCATCAAGAATAGGTCCAACGAACAGCCCAGTGCCAAAACATTTAGAGTTCACACATAACACCAATTGAAGTAAGAAACTCATGGAAGACAATTCTTGCAGGCATGGCAATCTATTTTGCAATGTAAAAAAACAACAACTGCAAAACTGTCCAAAATTCAGAGCACCTAAAAGCAGGAGGTCAGTCAAAAAAGTCAAGATGGACTGCCATCTCAACTTCTGTGATACCCACCATCTCCCAATGCTCTTGATGAGGATAATTTGCTTTGAGTTATGGCAAATCAAGGTTCTCCCATCCAATTCCTGTGGATGACATTCCTAATTCTGCAGTTTTGTTCACCAGCCCCATATACACATGGGGTCTTGTACAGAACAGCTACATACTGTATCATCATTGTTAGGCCCTATAAACTATAAGAGAGCCCTGCAGTCCTAGATATAATGGATGCCCCTCTTTCAAAAGATCAGATAGTGGATCAGAAAATGCATTTGTATCTATCTTTTGGAAGCCATGGCAACACAGTGCAGTTCTCTGATCTGACACAATGCAAAATCTTATGTTCTCAGATATTAATTATTCCATTCCATGCTCTGATCTTTAACAGGTTTTGAATCTGTTTGCAATTTTATGGATGTTATTATAGGAGTAACAAAGAGATTATATTCAGTGGTAATGATTTTCCAGGCTATGAGGCCATAGTCTAATCATCTGGCATCCTGACCTTTTGCCAGTATCTTCAGGGGTGCAAATGATCTGCTTCATAGGTCACTTCCAAACAGTTCCCGGGGAGCTGGAACCAACCAATCAGCCATTGGACCATGTCATTGGAATTCTGGAGAGCCATTTTCTGATTGGTTCTTCCTCCAGGTGAATTTGCAATTGATTTGAGTTGAAGAACGGATTGTAATTCCACTTTCCAAATGAAAAATGACCTGAAGTCATATCTGGGCTGCAAAACTCTCAAGGATTTGCAGCCTTCCAGATTTTGGCAATCCAGTATGGCATCACAACTATAATCCATCTGTCCTAAGTGGAAATATTTCTTGCAGGGCAATCAAGCTGTCATTCAAAATGCTTACCTTGCTCTTATGGCTAAACAGTATTGCTGTCTTTTATTCCCAGACACAGGACAATAGGATCTGCGTTGGCCAAGTTGATGAATAACATTATTGGTTTTTTTTTTTTTTAATTTCCTGAGGCAGTCTTCATCCTTGGCTAATTTCGTAAGAAATGAGCGGCAGGACAGTTTGATCTGATGTGCTTGCCAGTGAAAGCAATGTAATAAACCAACGTCATTGCGAAGCAAGTGATAAATCTGTCTTCAGGATAGCAGGCATTTTATATTTTCAGATTCAGATCCCATGATATCCATCAGCTGGCATTATTAGTTTCTTGGCATCTGTTTGATCTATTGCTATGAGACACACTGCTGAGCTGCACATCAATGGAGGTAGGGCTGTTAATGTTTGGGTGGACACTTTGTGTGTTTCTTCAATTTCCTTCACTTTCAGCTACCTTAGCAGTTGCCTGTATATTTGTCATGCTCCAGGTGCTGGATTAAAAAGTTCTTATTCCTGGGCAAGGAAACCTACTTGTAGAGAGAAAAAGGCTGATATGTGGAATTAAAGACTAGTGTGGGAAGCCCTCTCCCCAGAATAAAAAATATTCTACAGGATATTAAAAGAAGTGAGATAAAATATTTCCCCTAAAAGAGAAGAGGAGAAAAATCTTAACAAAGGCAGAAAGCAGCCCCAGTCTTCCTGCTATAGGAAGCAGAAAGCTTGAAGAGACTAGTCCTGTGGTGGCGAACCTATGGCAGCGTGCCACAGGCGGCACACAGAGCCGTCTCTGGTGGCACGCGAGCCATTTCTGGGCCGAGCTGTTCCCTCCTCCTCTCCGCGCATGTGCATCTCTCCGCGTATGTGCAGTCTGGGAATAGGAGAGAGGCTATAAAAGGAGCAACTTTCAGCGGAAGCAGCATTTGCTGCAGACAGCGAGAGAGCGAGCACAAGTCGGAGCAGACAGCGAGCAAGTGAGCACAAGCCAACAGCTTGGTGGCCATGCCCACTCAGTGGCCACACCCACCCGATACCCGGCGATGCATAAGTGGGTTTTGGGTTGCAGTTTGGGCACTCGGTCTCTAAAAGGTTCGCCACCACTGGGCTAGTCTTTAGGAATGGATATTTTGCACCCATTCAGTAAGCTGGGCCACCCTATTCATAAACAAAGAACAGCCAGAAACACTAAATAAGCAACACAATAGTCAAGGAGCCCAAACTGACAAGATTAGCTCAGACAAACAAAACACCTAGGATTTGCATTTCCCCTCTTGCCTGAAGAGCCAGCCATGACCCCTACATGACCCCATAGGAATCTGGCAACTGTCATTAAAATATTAAAGGACATATTCTTACACAGGAACAGGCATCTCAATCACAAAGCCCCAAAGAATGTATAAAAAAATCATGCACTCTCAACCCCATTTTGTCAGCCACGCCAGAAATATGCTGACATCACTGAAGTTTCTGGCTACCAAATAGAGACTTTCTTTCCTACAGCCTGCCTCCATTTTATTTCAGGGTCTTTCTTGGAACTAGATCTGATTTTTTTTCCAAAACAGTGCATATTATTTCAACTAAACTCCAAAAATGTAGTGGTCCAGGAAAGAGAAAGCCTGATGATAAAAAGCAACATGCCTGGTCATGCCTTCTTTTCTTCCTGCCTCTGTAAATGAAGTTGAATTGTTCCTTTGCTGCAAAATTAGATTGCTGCTCAATGCTCCAAGAGTGCATTTGTGTTTGTATCCTTAGGCCAGTGATCCTCAGCCTTAACAATGTTAACTTGAGTGGACTAGCTTCCAGAATTCCCCAGTCCTTCCATTCCAGGAATTGAAGTCTATTCATCTTAAAGTTGCTAAGGTTGAGAAACATTGCCTTAGGCCAGGGCTTTTCAATCTTTTCGCCCATTGTACCACTTTTAGGATATGGCAACATCCGAGTACCACCAGTCGCCTAGCAAGGTGTTAAAAACTTGACAAAAAAAGGAAAAAAGTGATAAAGTACAGATAGTCCTTAACTTACAACATTTCACTTAGTGACTGTTCGAAGTTACAATGGCACTGAAAAAAGTGACCCCCAAGCCACAGCCGAGCAAGACACTTGCCTGCCCGCCCAGTGGCGCTCTTCCTCCTGTCCAAGGTTTTCATTGTTGTGAGCATTTCTCTTGAAGATTGGCAGCAGGGGTGGGGGGGGGTATTTGGTTTTTATTCCCCCCATCTTCTGGGTGGTTGCAGCAGGTTCTGGTCACTTCACATGACCCTGGGACACTGCGACCGTCATAAATATGAGTCAGTTGCCAAGCATCTGAATGTAAATCACAAGACCCTGGAGATGCTGCAACATTCCAGCTGATCCGTGCTTCTTCTGGGCTCAGCAGAAGTGCCAGGATCAGTGCTGCTTTCCAACTGATTGGTGCTTCCTCAGGGCTCAGCAGAAGCACCAGGATCAGCGCCGAGCTCCAGCTGGGGCCTGGCGCTGATCCTGGTGCTTCCGCTGAGCCCTGACAGCCCTGCAGCTCCAGCCATCTCTCACTCAGGCTTGTGTGGTGCTGCCACCGGTTCAGCTCATTCCCCTCCCCCACTACCACTTTACTAGGATGGTCGCGTACAACCTGCCAGGTGCCAATGTACCACAGGTGGTACCCGTACCACTGGTTGAAAAGCCCTGCCTTAGGCCATCAGGTACAAGCCACTTGCTCAGAAGTGATCCAGATCTCCAGTGAAATGAAGATCTGGAAGGAACCATGAACTGAAGCCAGTCCCCTTACCCGACCCTAGAAATAAACTTTGGATAGTCCAGTAAAACCTGTACAACATGCAATGTCTTTATAGCAATTGCATGGCATATTTAATTGCATTATTCCTACAATATCACCCTATTTTTCATCTTCATGTAGAGGATTCCTTTGTTTTATACAAGGATTATGTTCCCCCCAAAACTCCACATAAAGTGAATTTACATAAAGTTTAAACTTTGGACATACAATAAAAAAATGGGGTGTTATTTCCCTGCATAACTATTAAATGCTGGTAAAAATTCCAAAACGAAGAACTGAATACAGAAAAACTATGAAAGGTTGTGTTTTTTATTAAGATGTAATGACCTTTTGTACTTGTTTTAATAAATGTCAGTTTTGGAACATTAAAATTAATGGCACATGCTTTGATGATGTGGAAGCCTTTTTAATTAAACCATAGTGCCATTAAATATTGCTCAATTTTTACAAATGGGTCTGTACTGCACGTAAGCATTTAGTGAACCCATGTCACCAAAGTTATGCAATTTTTTATTGCTGTCAATAGGGAGCAATTGGTTTAAATCAGGGGTGTCAAACTCAATTTCATTGAGGGCCACATCAGCATTGCGGTTGCCCTCGGGGGGCTGGGTGAGTGTGGCCAGGGTGGGTGCAGCCTACTAGGTGGGTGCGGATGGAGTAGGTGTGGCCTACTGGGTGGGCATGGACAGCTCTACATCGTTCATGTCAAGAGTGCCTGTGGGGGCCTGGGCAGGAGTGGACAGATCTGAGGGTCTCTGGCAGAAGGGGGTGGGACCGGGGCAAGCGCCAAGACATGGTCCTTTTCTTCATTCCTCACAAAGGGTGACACCTCCCCAGCATGCACCCAGGGGGCGGGGCCAACATGGCAGGGGCTGGTTCCTCGCTGTTTCTAGATGGCCTTATGGAACTAAGACTGAATGTGTTTCAGCATAGATGGACACCACAAAATTGGGCCAGGGCCAAGGCAGTGGGGGCCATTCCCTCACTGTTTCCAGGATGGCTTCGTGGGCCACATGAAACCACTTTGCGGGCCGCATCCTGGCCCTGGGCCTTGTGTTTGACATGTCTGGTTTAAATGTAAGGATTACTTAAATAAAAGAAGTGTCTTGTGCATGTACCTAACCAAGAAAATGTATTAATGATTCCTATACTTGATGTTTGTCAGAGGATAGGGCACTGCACAGAGCAATGCAGATGAAGACAATTGCACTTCAACTGATCCCTTTTGGGAGCAATAAGTTTATTTTTTTCTTAGGAACACAAGCTACTTTGTAGAATCTCAGGGCTGTTTTAATCCCAGTAATAGGCTGGATGAAGTAATATACCAGGGTCTTCAAACTTGGCCCTTTTATGACTTATGAACTTCAACTCCCAGAATTCCTCAGCCAGGCACGCTGACTGAGGAATTCTGGGAGCTGAAGTCCACAAGTCATAAAAGGACCAAGTTTGAAAACCCCTGTAATATACACTAAAATTAATTCCAAATAAGCAGAACATAAGATGAGTCTTGCTTTGGATGGGGTTGCATTTCCCCAAAGGAGCACACTCACCATTTGGGACACCCTTTTATAATTATGAGCTCTCATAGTTATCACAAGTGGCAGCTATGACAATGAATGTCTTTCCTCAGTTATGGCTAGTGAACCAACACGGGCACTCCCTTAACTACCCGAGCTTAGCAACAGTTAATTGTGCCTTTGTGGCAGTTAACCTTGCTTTCTGCAATGCATTGTGGGGGGCTTCTCCTGCGAAGCCTTCAGAAAGTGCAATCTGGGCAAAAAAAGGGGCGGGTAGGCTGCTGATTGGTACAAAAGGCTCATGTATCCATTTTCCACTGACTACCAACAGCCCTCTGGACAAATAGAACATAGAACAGTGGTGGCGAACCTATGGCACGGGTGCCACAGGCGGCACTCAGAGTCCTCTTTGTGGGCACGCACGTTGTCACCCCAGTCCTAGGCCTTCAGCTGGGTTTTATAAAACCTTTTCGCTTTAGGCCTCCGCCGCCATGTGCAAAAAAAAAAAAAAAAGGTTCAATCAGTCAATTTCAACTTATTGCAGGAAAAAAAAGATCTTGCAAAGTTGGAATTGATTGATTGAACTTTTTAGTCCCACCCAGTCTGCTGTTACCACCACAGCCACACCCAGCCAATGGGCCACACCCACCCAATGGGCCACACCCACCCAGCACTCGACGATGCATAAGTGGGTTTTGGGGTGCAGTTTGGGCACTCGGTCTCTAAAAGGTTCGCCCTCACTGACATAGAATCATAAGGCCGGAAGGTATCTCGGAGGTCACCACTGTTCCTGTAATTGGCTCAAAGTTTAATAGTGATTTTAGTTTTTAAAAATATATAGTATGCTTACAATTATTCAGTGATACTCTGAAAATTATACTATGAAACTTGTAAATCCTTTTCTTCACCCATATTTTACTCTCCTACATTTTTTTTGTCCTCATTCATATTATCTCTTTAAAAAGGTTCAATCTAATGTATGAAAAAAGAAAAGAAAAATAACCTGTTCTAGGAACAGATCTTCTTCTCTTTTTCTAAAAACAAAGGAATTAATTTTTAATGAATTGTTAAAGTTACTGAAATAGTGCAAATCATGGACAAAAATAGAAATACAGAAATACAACAGAACACACTCAAATACATAACTGACTCAAGAACATTCAAAGAAATTTATAACAATGAAAAGTGTTTAATTAAGTGCCAGTATACAGCAATCTGATTTGTGCAGATAAAAAGCAACCTCAGGTAAACCCTAAATCCCAACGCATCCCAGTTTATTCCTATCCGAAGTAAGATTTAAGTACAGATACATGTTACAAAATCAACTTGTAACTCTGTTAAAAATTAACAGACTCATGAAATACAAATTAAACCTGAAAAGTTACAAAATCAGGGAAACAACCAGCTCCAATGCAGGTAGATTTTAACTCAATGTTTTTCAACCTTGGCAACTTTTAAGAAATGTGTGGACTTCCACTCCAAGAATTCCCCAGCCTCCGTTTGTCTTCCAGCAAATCAAACAGCTGAAACAAGGGTCTTCAAACTTGGCCCTTTTATGACTTGTGGACTTCAACTCCCAGAATTCCTCAGCTAGTGTGCCTGGCTGAAGAATTCTGGGAGTTGAAGTCCACAAGTCATAAAAGGGCCACGTTTGAAGGCCCCTGAGCTGAAATATACCCCGATAGGCCGAAGTCCATTCCTCAATCCACCCCTCACTGCGCTGGGACCGCGACTGTGTCTTCCGGGAGGTGGGAAGACGTCGGACTCCCGATCCAAGCTTGAAGAGAATCCACCTCAGGCTTTCCATCTATGCCTGCAGACCGTGGATGCCGCTTTAACAGCCGGTTCATTCATTCCATTTATTCATCCATCCATCCATTCATTCTAGGTCGCCTTCCTCTGTGTTATTGGGGGCTGCCTTTACTCGATACGCGTGACCTGGTCACGGAACCAGCCCGTTTCCTGGCTTCCCACAATACAACCAATCCCAAATTAATCAAGTAGCCCATGTTCGCGCAACAGAGTGAGATGCTCGCGCGCAAGAACGGCACCTTTCAGACAGCCACGACCTCGATGACCCAGAATCTCCCTGATAGCAGGGGTCTTCAAACTTGGCCCTTTTATGACTTGTGGACTTCAACTCCCAGAATTCCTCAGCCAGTGTGCCTAGCTGAGGAATTCTGGGAGTTGAAGTCCACAAGTCATAAAAGGGCCAAGTTTGAAGACCCCTGCCCTAGGCAGTTTACCATGCACGAATCCCAAGACATTGCTATTTGACCTGGGTCGCCTTTTTTGTGTGAATACAGAGCATGCAAATGAGAACACCTGACTGTAGCTAAGACCTGGTCCCTTTGAAAACTGCCTCCACAGGCTTGGTGCTAAATCAGGAGTCTTTAAACTTGGCCCTTTTATGACTTGTGGACTTCAACTCCCAGAATTCCTCAGAATTCCGCTGGCTGAGGAATTCTGGGAGTTGAAGTCCACAAGTCATAAAAGGGCCAAGTTTGAAGACCCCTGAGCTAAGTGGAAAAATTAAAGCGTCCACCCCAGGAGCGGATGCATTTCAGGGCCGTGTTTTCTTTGTATACCCGGAGATAGATTACTGTTTTTCCGGAGGAACAATTCTGAGAGCCAAAGGAGATGTTCCCTTTCTCAGGATAAGCGGATATTGAAGAATGCCCCATCTATTGCTGCCTTCGTGTAATGCCCACCCCACAGAAGCCTGCCCTCCAGGAGGCGGTTCGTCAGAAGCGATTCTGCAGAAAAAGGCGACAGCCGTGGGACCAGATTTATAGGAAACAACGTATGTGCGCGCACCGCCCTTTGCTTTTTTAACTTTAAGTGCCGGTGCACAAGGGAACGAGCGAGCCGAGCGAAAAGTTTGAGTCGACTGAATTTGAATTTACTTAAAAAAAAAAATAACGAGCCCACATACCGCAGCGAGCAGGGTTCGAACCTGCGCGGGGAGACCCCATTGGATTTCAAGTCCAACGCCTTAACCACTCGGCCATCGCTGCTGCACAGAAATGTCTTCCCAGCAATATCATTTAGCAAGACCGGAAACAATAGCCAACGTTCTTTCTATCCGTCAGTCATACCAGAACTGGCCAATCAGAAGGCGGTTTGTCTCTGCCTGTCCAATCGAAATCTGAAGCAGGCCGACCCTCGGGGAGGAAACTCCGCACTTTTAAATGGTTCCGCAGAGGCCCTGGGATTTGTCCGTCGGGCCGGGCTGGGCTTTGTGGGGCTATTATTTATTCTGCAGCTCCCGCTGCTTGCAGCGTGTTCGTGGTTTCCTCTATTATCTAAATAATGTTAGGATAGTATTATAAATTATAAAATAGTAGAGTCCCCGAAAATGGATTGATTCGGCAAGCAAGTCCGGACCCTCGGCTTGCGTGCCTATGAATGCAGCCTTCCTCCAGTGGCTGAGGAACTTTTACCCTGAAGGGGGCTTCCTCAAAGCAATGCTGGGTTGCAAGGCTGCTACGAAAGGGGTTTGGGGGGAGGGGGTCCACAGCAGAGCTCAATGCTGTGGCATGGCTCCCAAGGGGCACCTCTAAGTGCCCAGCTCAGTCTGTGCCTCACCTGCCCTTTTAGTTGTTGTTGTTGTTGTTTCTTCTTCTTCTTCTTCTTCTTCTTCTTCTTCTTCTTCTTCTTCTTCTTCTTCTTCTTCTTCTTCTTCTTCTTCTTCTTCTTCTTCTTCTTCTTCTTCTTCCTCTTCCTCTTCCTCTTCCTCTTCCTCTTCCTCTTCCTCTCCTCCTTCTCCTCCTCTTCCTCCTATTCACTCAAATTAGGAATCTGGTAGCCCCCAACAACTGGAGGAGGAAGAGATCAGTTGGGCAGTTGCCTTCACATACTGTTAATCCTTATGACCATAATTGGGGCCAGGATTTCCGTTGCTAAACAAGGCTGTTGTTAAGCGAGTTGTGCAAGCTTTTTTTTTGCCACTCTTGTTAAATCACTGCAATTAAGTGAATCTGGTTTGCCCCATTGACTTTGCCTGTCAGAACCCCCCTGATTGCAAATGGCAATCCCATGAACCCAGGACACTGCAACCAGCGTAAATACATGCCGGTTGTCAAATGCCTGAATTTTGATCATGTGGCCATGGGGATGCTGTGACGGGACAGGTTGTAAGTCACGTTTTTCAGTGCTGTTGAGGGATTCTCTGTAACACACTTTCCCAGATAGTTGCAGACCTGATGCTACACGAGCACTGCCATGCTAAACTTCATTTAGTTTTTAGCATCTCATGGAAACACATCTCATTTATGATACAGTACATTATGCAGATTTTTTAAAAAGCAGTTAATTCTTAGTTAAGCTTGTTGTATGAATAAAGCCATAAACTAGAGCAAGGGTGTCAAACTCAATTTCATTGAGGGCCGCATCAGTGTTGTGATTGCCCTTGGGGGGCCAGGTGGGTGCGGCCTACTGGGTGGGCGTGGATGGAGTGGATGTGGCCTACTGGATGGGCATGGCCAGCTCTACATCGTTCGCGTCAAGGGTGCCTGTGGGGGCTTGGGCAGGACTGGGACAGATCTGAGGGTTTCTGGCAGAAGGGGGTGGGACTGAGGCAAGTGCCAAGGCATGGTCCATTTCTTCATTCCTCATAAAGGGTGACACTTCCCCAGCATGCACCCAGGAGGCAGGGCTGATGCCGCAGGGGCCGGTCCCTTGCTGTTTCTAGACAGCCTTGTGGGGCTGAGACTGAATGCATTTCAGCATAGAGAGCCACCACAAAATTGTACATTGGCTCCTGGCCGGCCTGGGCCAGGGCCAAGGCAGCGGGGGCTGTTCCCTCACTGTTTCCAGGATGGCTTCCCGGGCCACATGAAACCACTTCGCGGGCCGCATCCGGCCCCTGGGCCTTGTGGTTGACATGTCTGAATTAAAGGCATCTCATATTGGTAATCTCAGTTTGTATCATTTTTCTCACTTAAGTGATAGACTATTTCCCCCTCAGATTGGGGAAATGACTTCATTAGTTAAATCTGAGGCCGTAGTCAGGCTCCTTTTTATTTGTTAAAATATTCCTTAAACATCCTTAAATTCTGTTCCCAAATAAATGGTCTCCATGTGTATCAATCATCTCTCTCAGTCCAGAAAATCTTACATTATTTCTTTATGTTTACATCACTCCTGAGCAGGCATTGATACAATAATCACAATTACATCACTTAGATTTATAAAGTGAAGCTTCATGAAGAATATATGGTAGGCCTTCTGAGGGGGAAACATAACAACATTTACTGTATTAGATCACATTTTAATCTTGGGAATAATTGAAGTGGTCAAATGCTTTTATAGAATTTCACTGCCTGAAAAAGATTAAAATTAAATGTAGTTACTTGGAAAAAAAATGAGGACAATGTTGTTTATAATCTGAGGAAACGGAACTATTCATGTTAAAATGCCCATGTTTCAAAGGATTTTATATTAGAAAATTATATGCATGCTTGACTCATCATTTGCAGTTTCTGGAAATAAAGCCCATTTCCTAGCATGGTAATCTTCTTGTGGGAAAATATTGACGCATTTGTACAAATCCTCTATTATACACTTTACCACTTAAAGGGTTTCTAATGTTTTAGGGATGAAAAGGCATTTTTCCACTCTTCCTAGCTGCATATTTATTTTGCAAGTAACTATCCTGTTATTCCTTGCCAAATTTTAATTTACTAACTAGAAACATTAATGCTACCTTTTAGTGTGAAACCAACAATACATTCAATCCCTATTTCTCTTTTTGACAGTTCAGGGGAAAAACATTCAAATAGGTGATGATAGAAAAAAAATCTGGGAAAAAGGTAACAGTTGTTGATTGTAGAAGAATGTAGTTATGCATTAAAAACTGTTGAAGTAGAACAGAGGTGTCAAACTGCTGGCCCGCAGGCTGGTTGCATCATATGGAGGCCATACCTGCCCCAGCTCCAGCCTCCAGCAATGCAAAAAAAAGTCGCGACACGTCACGTGATGTGGCAAGGTTGACACCCATGAAGTAGAAGAAAAAGCATGTTTGATAGGTTTTTTAAAAATAGTTTTCTACGTTTACATTAAATATTTAAAAAAACGTGGTGACTGGGTAATCAATAATTCCATAACATACATAAATCTTTGGCACAAATCTCAAGTTACATCATCATTTCCTCTCTTTTTCCTTTAATATCTACTATCTCACATTGAACTAATATAGTTCTTATTGTTATCAACTAAGTAAAATCATTTTTGTTACATTTATCGATTTTTTAAAACTTATACAGTACATATTTTAATTGTGTTTGCATTCAACCTTATATACATCAATATCCTGTTATTGCTTTTTTCCCAGGCTTTAATTTCCCCTCAATATTCAACTTAACATTTGGTATGTTATAATTTCCAAACTTTAGGTGACCAGAGTTTCCCTTATCTCAGCTTCTACATTTTTCCCTTTTTATAACAAAATCTAATATTCTAAATACACATTTTATCTATTTGCATATAATCTTATTCTATTTTCTAAATATTATCTATTTTTTACCACATTAAACCAAAAATCTATTAGTCTTATTACACATCTTACCTATTCAATTATAATATTACTTTATTTTCTAAAAAAATTATCTATTTTCCACCATATTCAACTCTCTAATCAATAGCATACATTCTTCTCTAATAAATCAAAACCCTAGTTTCTTTCAGCCTTACTCTGGCTTTTTTCCTTTGCCAACTAACCTTCCATGTTTGATAGTTTATGACAGAATTCTGGGAGTTGAAGTCCATAAGTCATAAAAGGGCCATGTTTAAAGACCCCTAGTTTATGAGATCAGTACATGCTATATAATGAAAAAGCACCAGCCCATTATGAGTTATGGACCAGCAAACAAACTGACCAATGAGCGACTGGCGGTACTCGGATGTTGCCAAATCCTAAAAGTGGTACAATGGGTGAAAAGGTTGAAAAGCCCTGGCCTAATACAGATCCTGTATTTCTCAAAGAATGGCTTGCTGAAATTACTGAGGCAAAAAGCTGCTGGATTTATAGTCCATTAGAAACAGAAAAGTAAACACAGATGTTTGGAAGGCTGAGCATCTGTTCTGGTGAAACTTTCAAACTTGATCTTTGATGAATACAGGACATTATTGCTGATGCATGGCGTATAATTGAAAAAAATCAAAGAACACTCCAAAGAGCTCAGTGTGTGCTTCATTGATTATAGAAAGGCCTTTGATTGTGTTAATCCTGTTGAACTGTGGAAGGGGCTTAGAAAAATGGGAATCACAGAAAATGTCATTGTTCTCCTGCTTCAAGCAGGCAAAGGAATGTGAGATAGCTGTATACTCTCCCCTTATTTATGGAACCTATATGCTTGAATATATATTAAAGAAAGTTGGATTGGAAGTAAATGGTTTTAAAACTGGAAGAAGAAACATCAATAATCTGCACTGTGCTGATGATTACTCTGATAGAAAAAAGCGTGAAGGATCTGCAAGCTTTAGTAATAAAAGGCAAGACAAGGAAAAAATAAGACTAGGATTAAATTTAAACAGGTATAATTAATGACAACAAGTATAGCAATGGACAGTGAAGATACTGAAACGATACTCCACCTTTTAAGTTCAACTATCCTCAGTAAAGGAGCATTTATTTATTTACTGCCTTTATTATTTTTTATAAACAACTCAAGGCATTGAACATATCTAATACTCCTTCTTCCAACTATTTTCTTCACAACAACAGCCCTGTGAGGTGATTTGGGCCATGGTATTATCTGTGACATCTATGAAATAAAAGTTGAATTTTGAAGATAGAAAGAATATTGTTATTTTTGAACTTTGGTTTTGGAGAAGACTTCTAAAAATACCATGGACAGCCAAGAAAACAAAACTATGGATCATCAAACAAATCAACCCAGAGGTCTCACTTGAGGCACAAATGACCAGCTCAAACTATTCTACTTTGGACACATTATGTGAAGACTCAGCTTCCTAGAGAAGACTTATTATTGCCCCCCTGCCTCCTGAGAGAAGCAACCTGGAATTAAGGAGGACCTTCCTGACAGTGAGGACAATTAACCAATGGAACAGCTTACCCCCAGAAATCGTGGGTGCCCCATCATTGGAAATTTTCAAGAAGAGACTGGGCAATCACCTGTCTGAGATGATATAGATTCTCCTGCTTGAGCAGGGGGCTGGACTAGAAGACCTCCAAGGTTCTATTCTATTCTATTCTATTCTATTCTATTCTATTCTATTC